AGGAAAACAAGGTCCACATAGTCAAAAGAACGCGACATTACTCGTATATTCAAAATTATGCCCGGCTTGGCATTGTACATGTTTGGCTGTGTGGCTGGGGCATATCTCGCGTTAGTGCTCGGTATTTGTATACGATGTAGGGCTCTGGACTGCATGACAGATGTCCACGGGCACTGTGTCTCCTCGTGTTCGAGTTTTCCTTTCCAGTGCAATGGGATGGCGACTCTCAACGAGCAGCATCGTAGGACAAGATCCTTAAGTGCCGTAGCGCAGCGAGGCTGCCTTGTACCCGTTACCGTCTATGGTAGCTGGGTTAGAGGGTTTCGCTAACGTCCCAGTTCTTCGCGGTGCGATTGAAAAATCGGCTCTAGTCATGTGACTGCAGCGCTGCCATTTTCTGCATTGAGACAAATTGTTGTCAGACGAGCGCTTTTGTCCCCTTCCTTTGTCCCCTTGATAGCAATGTACGACCTTATTTAGCAAATTACCAATCATGCTTCTCGTTTACCATGAAGCCTTTGTCAGCAGCATAGAAGCTCCTGATGTCCTGCATTGCAGTGGAGGATCTCCTCCACGCATTGTGTTATAGGCGAGTTTGCAATCGTGAATGGTTTCAAGTTTGGTAACAGCCAGCTCAGCTGTGTGGTGACGTACGCTAATTCCACTATTAACCTTATACTCAGGCTGCTAGACGTCGTTGACAATGTTATTGCCGACGTCGTCTTAGGAAGAAATTGAAGCATTAGGTATGCTATTCATCTTTCGTGGATCATGGCATGTCGTGTCCGTCCCCAGCATCTATTTCGTTCCATCCTCCAGTATTGCTGGATGGGTATCTATCCCCATGGTAATTGCTCAGTTAAAACCATAAGCTATGTGATAAAGAATCCGGAATATCCACGATGGATATTTTCAAGTCCGCATTGTCTGGACACAATCATATCACCACGTGATGTTTGTAGGATATGAATGAAGACTTAAGCTACTTAAGTCCGGAAGACATCCTTTCCTTGAAGGTCCGGTCGCTTCCCATGATAATGGTTGTAAACGAGCTGGCATACCTGCGCGTCAGGGACTCAAAGAAAAAGTACATCGGCGCGTCAGACGCTTTCTCAAAACATTTACTACTCTAAAGGTAAACGGTAACGGGCTTTGCCGTGCTCCAGTGCACGGCGCTATCAACTTTATTTCTGAGTCGACTTGAGAGGAATCACCTACCGCCAATGTTGTGGGTAACGACGCTAACATGGTTGTTGAATGACATACCTGTAGCGCGAAAACGTGAGTATCTGATCTTTACTGACGAGAGGCATTAATACATTACATTGCATTACACGTATCTTCAAAATTATGACCCGCTTTTGTTTGGTTTTTGTTTGTGTCTTTGATGAGATCTTTTCAAATCAGATTCACCCTTGATTCGGACATCAATCCTTCAATCCTTTTGGGCCAGGCCATCGATAAGATAACAAACCCTTGCATAGCGCCCGTCCTTCACCGTCCTTTCCTCCCTTCCCTCCTTCTACTCATCCCTGATTTTCCGCCGTGGCCACTCGCTGAATTCGTGTGTCGCTCAAATTTTCTAACGCCTGCACTCACCTCAATCGCAGTCTCGAGCTCCACCAAGCAGCCTCGGCCACCATCGTTCTCTATTCCTCCACCGATGTCCATCCCTGGTGTTGTATGAGATGCCAAATGCTCAGGTACGCTCTGTCACTCAAGTACCAACCCCCGCTGTACCAAACGTCGATCACAGCACCGAGTTCGCCACAGTTCGGGCTCTCGGCACCTGCAGCGACCTCTTTCCCCATTGATGTATGGGCTTCGATAGAGCCCTCTCTCTCCTTTCTCCCGTCTGAACGTGCAAATTGGCGTGTGAAGGTGCCGCGCGCTCGGGTATACAAGCTCGTCACAGTGTGCTGGCCCTGTTCGTCCGCACACTGCCGTGAGACTTAGTGCGACTCCCGCTGGCGAGGCGCTGTTTTCATCGCTCATGCCCGCGTCTCATCAGAGTTTCCCCCGCTTCGAGCCTCACGTCTCTATAGCTACGTTTTTGATTATTTCTGTTACACCATGGTTTATCTGCTGTTTTATTTGCCACACCAACATGTAATGATACAAACCGCTGCATACTCGCGTTGTCCGGGCTTCCGGCCTAGCCGGTAGCTGTGGCATGGGCCACCTCAAACCACAGGCCTTCAGGCCTCAGGCACCTGGATGTACTCTGTCATATCAATGAGTCTAACCCCGTACTTCGGTTGGTGGTACTTTTTCCTGACTCTCATCAATATCCCAATGAAAGATCGTCATGCCATCAGAGGCTGATAGATCTGAAGGTTTAGGAGATCTAACATAGGTTTTTGTTAGTTCGAGACATCACGGTTGCAAGGTGCAAGCCCCCATGATAGGCCTGACTCGCCAAGACAGGGGAGGACAACTGTCATTGGGAAACCTCATGGAGCAAATGAGATTCGATTGCATAGCGCCATGACATGGTAGGCCGTGGTTGGTCTAGAACCTGTCTGATTCTGCCATGTAACAGACGACAGTACGCACGTGCTCTGAATTTCCACGTCTTTTCCCATCAATTGTGACGTAGCGGAGCAAGGCATGTCTTGTGGAACTAACAAAATGTCATTCAGATTCATGTGTTATTTGAGAGATAAATGGTCAGCAGTTCGAATGAATATTTTGTAGGTGAGATGAAACTAAAACGCCGCAAGACATTGACACAGAGGATATTGGCAACACGGGGTTTCTCTGTGAACATACACGGATTGTGAGTAACGGAGTCTATGTGTTATTGATGATAACCACAAGACACGCCGAGCTACGCTCCGGCTCATAATTTGGAGGATGGTTGACAATGCGACCCACTGACCCTAACCCTCATGTTGTTACCACGCGTAACCAAGCAAAAGTAAGAATACAGTACAATCAATCACAAAATACAACAGCAGGATTCCAGATCCTGCCACGAAACGCACCCGCTCACTATCACCCTTTACTAAGGAAGACAAAATATGAGCACGGAAGCAGTGATATCAGTATGACATAGATCAGGAACTGATTGTCACGAAAAAACCTTGTATGCCCCACATCCCATCAGATTGTTCAAGGCGATCACCATCAGCCTGAGTGCCAGTGCAACGAAGCGATCACCAAAATGAAGGCACTCATTTATCGATATCATTGATGCAGACACCGACTCCTGAATCATTCTAGCTCATTGTTTGTAACATTTGCGGAGGGAAAAGGACAATGCACGGAATTGAGCAAGTTTAATTGTGTTACATTGAAATCGAGACATATTGAACATTTAACAGAACTAATCTACCATAAGAAGTTGTAGCTGAAAGATACTTACGTACCTGCCTGTAAACATAATATCACGCTCAATAAAAGATAATCAGTGATATCAAAAATGAAGACGAGGAACAAAACCTACCACGGCTGCATACGGAAACGGGATGAGAGTGATAGTGATATGCATCCGCATATTAACTATGAGGGAGTGAAACGGCAGCGACCCGCGGTCAAGCGGTCAAAGAAACGCCGTGAGTAAAAGATTAACCTGCATCATAGTACCGCTTGCGAAACACTTACCTAGACCAGTGCCGGGAATCCCAGATACGCGGCAGAGCACACTAACACAAACAGGACACCCAAGCGTGTAGGAGGCTTTGGGCATGGGTGTGAGCTCGCCGAACGCGGGTTGCCGGTTTACCCTTGCGGAAGGATAGCGTAAGAGCAAGGACTTGGCCATGGACGGGCCGGCCAAGGCGCAGGGACAATATAGGGCGCGCCGGACGGCGGGGCACAAATTGACCGTGGTAGAGCATGAGCTCATGGGTAGCGAGCTCAGGTCTGGTATGGACATTTTCATCAGTGGGGAATGATGTTCAAGCGAGAGGGCGTACCTGCGAATTCTGCATTGGATGCCACGAGGAGGGAGAATCATGAGCAAACTGGGAGTCGAATCGGACGGAGGCAAGGTGTGATTTGCGAACATCAAGCGGAGTCGGGAAGAGGGTTATCGTCATCTGGGAGCAGGTTTTCGTGAGTTCATAGCCCAAAAGCGATAGATATGGCACGCACTGAAAACATGCTCCGTAGTCCTGGCAGGGCTGAAATAAGCATGTGTAAACGTTAGAGAACTTGAGCGACATACCAATCCTGCGACCGTGAGGATCCACAACGCGAAAATAGGGAGGGGAAGAAGGTGGGGAGGAAAGGATGGCGACGAACGAAGCGCCAGCTCAGGGACCGTTATCTTATCAACGGGAGTATGGCCCAAAATTACTCGTATATTCAAAATTATGCCCGGCTTGGCATTGTACATGTTTGGCATTGTGGCTGTGGCATATCTCGTGTTGGTGCTCGGGATTCGTATACGATGTAGGGTTCTGGACTGCACGACAGATATCCACGGGCACTGTGTCTACTCGTGTTCGAGTTTTCGTTTCCAGTACAATGGGATGGCGATTCCCATAGAGCAACATAGTAGGGCAAGATCCCCAAGTGCCGTAGCGCAGCGAGGCTGCCTTGTGATTGATGATGTCCAGATCGAGAGCGCATCTGATCTCAAGGGGATCTGATCAAGAGCACAAACAAAAACCAAACAAAAGCGGGCAGAAATATTGAAGATACGAGTAATTTCGCATGGTGAACCTGAATCCCATACGTCCCTCTGTTGGTCTAGCATGCCTCGCCCTCGTTTCAAAGGAAGTGGGGTATTGAATTAATTGACACTTCTTTCCTCAGTTAGTATCGTCAACATGGGGCTTCCCCTATTGTTCCTCCATTGCTATCGTCCTGTCAATGCATTATGGTATAAAAATGATATTGTATTGTTTTCTATTGCTGTCTAAATGCCAAAGGGTAACGGAGGCATGTCTGTACTATATAACGTGGATTTGGTTGATGCATCCGTCGAGATGTCTGCTACATTGATGATTGCGGATGAACGCGTGAACACCATCGATGTCAGGAACATGTACTCAAGTAAAAGAACGCCCCTCCATGGCTGATGCGCCTGATTTTCCGCCCTTTGCAGGAAAATCCAACATTTGTGCCCGTTTAGATGTTGTTTGTTTAACTTTAGGCTCTGTAAACTCCTTGGGAATGATTAGCGCATCAGTGCGCTGGGTCGTCATGATTACTGGCCATGCGTTAGTCAAAAACGTGCAGTCTACATGCTAATTACGCACCTGGGCTAGTGCTATCTTGTCGAGGCGAGGCCGGGAGAGTGGATGCGACACGAACAGATGCCTTGCCTTGCTTCTCGATCTCTGATTGGCTATGTTTACGCTTTATTCCCTTCGGAGTGATTGGTTCGTCATCGTCGCCGTCACGGCACATGGCTTGGTATCCTGAAAAGTGGTCACTGATGCCATTTCATTAAGTCTGGCAAAAGGCAGCTTACCAGATGGTCTGGCAGGACTTATAAAGTTAAAACAAGGCGAACTTTCGACCTGCTGAACCCTCGCTTGGGTGCGTTTCTGCCTCTTTGCCTTGGGGGAGGCGTACTGGCCAGCATCCTTATAAGCGGATGCTGCCTGAGAAGCTGAAAATCACCGATGGAAGAAATACACCACATAGATGAAAGAAGGAGCTGACTAACAAGGCGGTATGTGGTCAGACCATTTGGCAGATTTATCCCGCTCCTCATCTGCAGTGTTCCATAAGTACGTAATCATATTGATACAACCATCAGTATTCACCTGAAAATGCTGTCAAACACGTCAACAGTTTGAAAATAATCCAAAGATGAAGATGCCTACAATGTGCCTCATAGTGTGTCACACCCGTACTCGGCGAAGGAGGGAAATATAATGGGCCTAAGAAATAACAAGGCAAGTTAATGTTCCTGACAAGGATAAATTCCGACAAGAAGATCGGAAGCACAGAGCGGCACTAACTGTCATTATTGCGCAGCTCCTCTCTGGAAGCATTGTTTGAACTGATGTAACGTGAGGATACATTCACCCCTCTGTCATTAGACTCTATGGAGAAATACCTGGAAATGGGCGTCGTCATTGTTGATGCCTTTGAATATGCCAAGACGCGGTCAGGGAGCGTTAATTGGCTGCTATCTGATTCAAAATCTGAGCTGTAGTCACTATGTGCGTAGGTCGGCTCCACGGGAGTGTCTTTGGTAGCATCTTGGTGCTCTGCTCGAGACTTGCCGGTAGTGGTAGTGCCAGGAACATGGATGAAGTACGGATCTGCAAGCGCTGTGGAGCTGCTTTCTTGAAGGGGACCGGGATGGTACTCATGGCTACAGTGTGGTTGAACGTGAGTCCGGGGCCAGGTATCCAGTGCATTCATTTGTTCGTTCTCATTCGGAGGGTATGAGTTAGGCGGTGGAGAAGACGAGAGCCTGAGTGAACTGGAACGTGAATCCATCCCAGACGGTGGTGTATCTCCTTTAGCATTGCTGGTATCGGGGATATTACTGAAAACGCTATCCTCCGACAACGTGTTCTCGAGATTAGCATTATCCACACGCCAGAGCTTCATTAAGGACTCTTCCTTGTCGCGGCTCATGAATATGAACTCAGCATGGTGATCTTGGCTAGCAGGTACTCGCTTAGGTGCTCTCTGTTGGGTGTAATAAAGATGCTGTTCCAAGGGTATATCAGATGCTTCTGCGTAGATGTTGTCGACCTGTATGCCTTGACGATGACACCATGCGCTGAGCGAGAGAGTCTGTGGGAGTGATAGTGAGCAACACATGATAAATGGGTAAAAATGGAAATCACATCTGCCAGTTCATCTACACGTGCAAGTATTTGTGTTTGGAGGACAGGCTGAGAGCTACAGTGACTGTCATTGGCGGGCGCGCCCATAGGATAGGCGAAAGGACATTTTTGAATCGCATCCATTATTGTGGAAAGGTACGCATTTTGTTCCTTGATTAACGTGTGCTCTTGGAGAATGTCCATCTCTTCGGAGACAGTGGCCTGGAATTGGCGTGCAAATGTGGCGCTGTAGCCAAAGTCGTCCGGCCAATCAAGCTCGTCTGTGGTGAGCCTATCTTGTTCTTGCAGCTGTGCACCCATGTGTTCTTGCTTAACGACAGAGGACTCGATGATGTACGGGGCGGCGGTGGTAGAGATGACTGAGCGAAGATATGAGGCTGCACTGTCAGCGGTGTATAGAAGGTCGTAGCGGTAGAAATTGGCAACTCCTTGGCTGAGAAGAGCAAGAGCAGCAAGAACCTTCAAGGTACGTGAAGAAACGTGTGGTGACGGGAGCGTCCATTCGTAATTATGGGTACCGAGTGCTTTCTGTCCACGGAACGAGTTCTGTAATAAGCTGGCTGGCAGGGCCTGCTTGCGGTCCCAGGGAGTAAGCCAGCCGGGCTGTGACAACTCGTGATTGTAGGTTGTCTTTGGCGATTTCCTGAGTGCATCATGGGCGACTTTGTACTCCTCGTATATGGCTTTGCGGTCATCCATTTCAGGACTCGTGTTTTTGATCGATGGCTTCGAGCCAGAAGCTGTCGAAGTCCAGGGCCCTGGCGTATTTGATGCAGCTTTCCCTGCCAGTGATCTAGTGAGGCTGTGGTTGTTGAGGTCATTGTTGGATTGTCGATGCTCAGCGCGCCGCCGGTCCTTTCTATTGAATATTGCGACTAGTTCCTCATTTGTTGCAGGCCTCTTGCCGTCGGCGCTAAGCCCAATAGCTGGCAGAACCTGATCTATGGTATTAGGAAGACATGGGAGATTTATGGACTTGAGCTGCCGGTCAAGTCTCAAGAATGCAGCAAAATTTCCAACGAGGACCCACATGACCTGTAAACATATGATATGTTGATGAGTGCGAGTTTCAGGATATTGTAGGAATTCAGTGATCGACTCACCTCGTCCACAAAACTTGCACGTAGCTCCTTATTGATGTTTGGCAAAGCAAAGAACGAATAGATCATATCGGCGGTAACCGAGCCAACGAGAGACTCGTTGTCCGGGTGAACGCCTACCAAGGAAAATAATGGGCTGTGCCACTGGCCAACCTACGCGTACATTCATGGTCAATCTTCAGCATAAAAACAGACTGTGCTGCAGGAAACTATTTACCTCCAACCAAGCTCTCTCTACTTGCCTGCAATTGCGTGCGAGAGTAAGAACCAAGGAAACAGTGACAAAAGGCATGTATGGACAAGACTGCAGATTGTCGCTGATATCTTGATGCTTCAATACGATGTATGCCTTCATCCAGCAACACTTGACGGCCGTTTGTACTTTGGATGGATGCATACCAACTTCACCAGAACGATCATATCTTTTGCTGTAGTCGAAAAGTGCAGAAACAACACCATCGACGTAGGCATCGTATGCATTTGTATAACCTTGGTCTGCTTTGTTTCCTAGGCCCCGTGATGCTAGTGTCTCTGTTCCCAGGTGAAAGGTAAACTCCTTGTCAATGAATTCCATGATATCATCCGAGAGGGAACCAGGAACAACATCGGAAACGCAGATGGAGTGATATGCCTGGCGCATCCATTCGCGAGCCGTGCCATGCATTACAGAGTCGGGAGAGCTGAAAGCAGATTTGTATTGCGAAAATTCATTGACGTCAATGTTGAAATCACTGAAGCACCACTCAAGGCGCTTTCCCATTGAGCAGGTTAACCAAGCAATGACCTACGTAACGTTGTGGGATCAAACACATGAAAAGTAAATAATACGGCTCACCCCTCCATAACTCGATGTCATCAGATCGTAAAATTTGTGGACAGTAAAATGGGAACCGCGGGTGAAGTGATTTCCGTGTTTGAGCATAGCTGCCAGAGTGTTGAACATGTGTGGTTGGTGAAGCACCTCTGCGTGTCGCCGGTCAGCGCCGCGTGCCTTCGAGGGTGCCGCAGTGCCCCTCCAGTCTTGTCCTTTTGATAACCGTTTACGCACAGTGCTAATCAGACGCTCTTCTGGACCCTCTTTATACTCGTATAGGCTGTTGTTGCGTGACAGGTGGTGACCGAGCTCGTTAACCAGCTCATCAGACATACCCTCTATAAAGAACATAAGTATCTCTTCAGGACATAAAGAATATAACCGATTTTCTTACCGCAATCGTAAAATGCAAAAATCCACTGCTGCTCAAGCTTGAGCGTCCGCTTGAGCTGCTTGCGGAGTGCTTCATCCGTCTCGCCCCAGTGTTTCTGTTCCTCTTGCGAAAGCTGAAAATTTTCCTTTTTTTGGTTTTCAAGGAGTTTGTACTGCGACTTGATGCGGTTGTAGTGAAGCCCAAGTGCGCTCCGACGGTGTTGGCCACCGCAACCCTGCAAATCATTCTTCTTCAATTCACGTGTAAACTGGGTCACCGGGAGGTCCAACCCAAGCATGGGGTTGCTGGAAAAGGTGTTCTCGACGAGCAGGGAGCGTTCGAGGAGCACAGGGATTGCATTTTCAGCTCGAAATCGGTAGAGCCCACGCTTGAATGACTCAGCTAGACGAGATGATTCCTTCTGGTCAAGGTCCCGTTTGTTCCATTCACCAAAATTTAGGGCATCATCGAGTTTCCCTATGTCACATCTTCCAAATCCAATGAAAGCACCGCAGCACTTCGCATGTGTTATGTCGTCCTCAATAACGACGTCATCAAGCGCTTCCTTGTCTTCCGGAGATGATCCGCGTATATTTTTGGCTGCGCGCTTCTGCTGGAGGACATCGGCAGTACCTCAGATATGCTGGCACCGTTGACGCGATCAAATACACACACCTCTCCCCGAGCTGGTGATTCATCCACCTGTTCTTGTTTATGTGTTTTTCTGATATGTGACTTGGCAGTGTCTACCTGCGAACGATCGTCGGGCTTCATCTGCAAACATGTGGGTTAGCATGGCTGCAGCAGATGGACGGGAATAGGTACTAGCAATGCTTATTTTGGTCTCAAAATGCTTCGTGCTGACGATACACAGCGTGAATGATTCGGCGTTTTGCTAGGCTATCCCACTTGAAAGATTTAGTGTGAACTACCGGCAACAGAACTATATGGCCTCTTGCGGCGAACAAAGGCTCCGGTGCAAACACGAAGAATAGTTACGCAAGCGAGGGAGGTCCTCCGGGGGAACACTATATGCCCGTTTGGGAAGCGTGAGTGGAAATATGGGCAAACTGCTAGTCTCTCGCAAAGGAGAGGGAATAAACAAGGGAGTGAGCTGAAAGCCCGTTCGATGCTGACAAGCTTTCTTCCCACGGATAAACTCCGAACCAACTCGTTCCGACGGCGCCGGAGTTGACCGTGTTAGAGCATGTTGTTTTGTATTAGCCGTACCATGCCTGTGCCCTCGATGAAACAACGCGCCCGTCGTGAAACATGCATGTACATCGAGTATCTTGAACGCGTCTCTCATCTATTACCCCCCAAAATTCGTTTGTGGGCTGTGCTAGGTCTATTTGATAGTATAGTCGAAGCTCAGAAGCTAGATCCTAAAATTGAGTAAATACGGCTCGAAAAACTTTCGTGTGTTCCCCCCTATGCTTATTCGCTCAGGGCACCAGGGTAAATATTACCCAATTACTTTGAGCTCCCGGTGACGCCATCACATTATACAGTTTATCGTTGTCCGACGGTCTCGGCTCAGCGGACGGTCAAAACGTCCGATGGTCTCGGTTCAGCGGACGTCGGCTCACGAGTGCAACCTCGCGGATGAGCCGACTTTGCTCACACTATGCAATGGTGTCGGGGCGGCCCATGACAATGTAACTACATTATTATATGTTATATTACCTTATATTGACGTTATATATGATGAGCTACTATGATCTGAGGCCGACCACATTAGATTGTGTCGAGAGGGCCCATGTACAATCAGCCAAATAAATAACTATTCTCTCGGATGGGCCCATAGTTTTTCAAAGGGTTCAGACCCGCTCCAGGAGATGTACTTGCGATCCCCAGGTGCGTACTTCCTCAGTCTTGCTGCGAGGGCCAACGTCGGCAGCGGCGGCAGCGGGCAAAACACGATGCAGGGGCCGGGTTCAACGTTCAATAGCCGAGGACTCGGAGCGCGGAGGCTCGCCTCACGCGCAAGGGTCACGGTCACGGTCACGGTCATGACCGGACCGTGTAAACGAGCGGGTTCAGACCCGCTTCACATCAGAGGGCATAACTTCATTGAGACGTGCTGCATCCGTGAAAGGAAATTGAAGGTAACAGGCTTGTTACATTGCGTTACAATTTGTTACTACGTGACATGCTCTAAGGTTTCACGGTCAAAATTCTCCAGACGCTCTGCGGAGCTGCCCATAGGGCCGAAAAAGTTCCGTCATCAAGAGCGTCTGGTTCAAGACTACAGAACCGAACAAGCAAAGTCATCCAAACTAATATAAGTTGAACAAGATTTTTTTATGTAGAATCTGACTTCAGATTCAAATTCGGACATGCTCAAAACGTCAGAAAATGCACCTCCGAAGTTTTTCCCACGTAGGTTTCGTATGGTGGCCAAATTTTTGAACTATTTTCATTTATAGAGCTCTGCATCTCTCTCTCTC